TATATATATATATATATATATATATATATATATATATATATATATATATATATATATATATGACATTTTGAACGGTGTATCTAGGATAAGCTTGTTAATCTTCTGTGAGTTATATCAGAATGGTATGGTAAACCTTCAGATAGCAGACCGGAGTGAACAAACCCGATCGATGGAAAAAGCATAGAGCTCTTTTGTCTTGCATAGAACTGCTGCTACTGCTGCAGCTGAAGCTGCTGTTGCTTCTCCTTCTTCTGCGTTGACCCGTAAAAAAAGTTGGTATGTGTTGTAATTTATTGCTGATCTTAGAACCCCTATTACGTAGTACCCAAACTGGCAATAACCTGAGGAATTTAGTTAACCTTAACACCGACAGACAAGCATTAATGTAGGTAATAACAATTACGGTGCACGTTAACAAGGAAAAACCCCAGAAAGAAAGGCAGACAGACAGACTACCAGATACACAGACATACACAGAGACCGATAGAACTAATATTTTTTTGTCAAAGGGTCACACAATTAACCGGCCTGCTCATGTTACATTCGGCTTCCCAAACACCAAATTTTCACTCAGTTATTGTATTTTATACACATAATATGAATATTAAGTAAAACGCACAAAGCAAGTATGGTAAATGTACAATAGATACATACATACACAATACATTATATGTATGTCTGCCTAAAGGTCGTATAAACAGACAGATAGACTGATAAATCGAGCGACAGACAGACTGAAAGATATATTGCCAGACAGACAGACACAAAGATAATATTCAGTCGCAAAGACAACACAGAATGTTGAAGAAAACACTTGGCACATTTCTGAACGTATGCAACTTTTATTATAACGGCACCATTCACATAATTATTTGTTTGTAAACCACAATAAAAACATAAAGATAACCAATTTCATTGGTCTAATTTTCACAGTAACATAATTGCAACTGAGTAATCAAGTTAACAGGACAAATGCAAATACGCGAACAACTTTACAACGAATATGATATCATTGCTAGCTAGCGATTATCTAAATTACAGTCTAGCTATGTTATCAAGATTTCTGTAAATATGCCTTTCCTTTTTATTTTTTTTTTATTTTTAATTTTATTACAGTCAAAACGCTTACTGAATTAGTGTGTGTGTGTGTGTGTGTGTGTGTGTGTGCGTGTGTGTTTAGAAAAATCTTTTATTACATAATTTACATCACGCATTACCGTACATATAGTTGTTGGAAATCTGTTGAAATGCCAGAAAACATAAATTCAAGAGTGTTGATAGAAAAGGATGAATGGGGTTTTGGTAGGATGTCTGTTAGCAGCCTTCTGTTTCGTGTGTCAGCCGGTCTTTGTCTGACACAGAAGTTCTTTCAAGCCACGATGCAACACTGTCCATCATCTGCTCTCCCGGTTTCTCTTTGCCTCTCTGGGGTGGGCACCAAACTCAGGGCATTCACGTCTTAGTGTCTTATTGTCTATCTTTTCCTAATCAAGTGATACAAAGGGGTTTCAAATAAAAGCACTTGTATGTTCCGTTTTCTTATCGTATTTCACATATTTGTTATGGATATGGGCAGATTTAAGTTTTAATTCTTCAAGGTGCGTTTAACTGCAAAAAAATGGAGAAAAGGGTGTTCTCATTCTTTGAGTTCTGTTTATATGCAAATAAAGGGGGAAAAAAGGATTCACTGGCCATATCCCATAATTGATCCACGTTATCCTTAAAATAAGAAGAATTTGAGCATATGTGTAAAAAAAAAAAAAAAAAAAAATCAGACAAACCATCATTCCAGGTTTAGTAAGTAAAAACAAAATGAATCATTTTCAGGACTTTCAGTCCAATTGTATACAAACTGTCTTATCCTTGTGTTTTTATATCACCGTCAACACTTTGTGGCTGATACCAACAAAACATTTTCAAAACATTTCCTGGTACCAATTTTAGTTTAGATTTTCTGGGAGCCTGCCTAGATTTGTTTTGTATAAACTTAGTTAATAAGAGGGTTTGAACTCATACCACTCGACCAGCCTAAATGCGGGCTATCAATTAGAGAAGCTGTATTAATGTCTTGACAACCACATATATGCTTGTACGTGTTATGGTCCATAAAAGGTTGAAATACAGTTTTTTTATATTCTTTATCGTGGACCATCTATCAGTTCTTTGATTATATCCCCCCCCCCCCCAAAAAAAAAAATTGTTTAACTGTAAATTAATCATTCAGCGAACAGCAAACATGTCACATGACAAGCCTTGTGACGTTGAACAGTGTCTGGACTTGCAGAGCCTGTCGATGTTATCAATAAATGTGTTAAATCATTGATTTAATTATATATATATATTAGTTAGTTAGTTAGTTAGTTGGGTTATCCTCATTGCACTCCGGACATGTCCATAGGTGCTCAGATCCTCCCCTCAGTATGAACCCCAACGTCCGATGGCTAATAGTATATATATATATATATATATATATATATATATATATATATATATGTGTGTGTGTGTGTGTGTGTGTGTATGTACAGCATGCAATATAATAACAACATAGAGAAAACGTGGTAGTCTGTGCTAGTGTGTATAAGAAATAGATAGAGAGCAGAGAGGGGAAGAGACAGTTGAGAAAGAGAAAGATAGAAAGCAGAGAGACAGAATTAGAGAAACAATAAAGACATAGATAGATAGATAGATAGATAGATAGATAGATAGATAGATAGATAGATAGATAGATAGATAGATAGATAGATAGATAGATAGATAGATAGATAGATAGATAGATAGATAGATAGATAGATAGATAGATAGATAGATAGATAGATAGATAGATAGATAGATAGATAGATAGATAGATAGATAGATAGATAGATAGATAGATAGATAGATAGATAGATAGATAGATAGATAGATAGATAGATAGATATAGATAGATAGATAGATAGATAGATAGATAGATAGATAGATAGATAGATAGATAGATAGATAGATAGATAGATAGATAGATAGATAGATAGATAGATAGATAGATAGATAGATAGATAGATAGATAGATAGATAGATAGATAGATAGATAGATAGATAGATAGATAGATAGATAGATAGATAGATAGATAGATAGATAGATAGATAGATAGATAGATAGATAGATAGATAGATAGATAGATAGATAGATAGATAGATAGATAGATAGATAGATAGAGATAGATAGATAGATAGATAGATAGATAGATAGATAGATAGATAGATAGATAGATAGATAGATAGATAGATAGATAGATAGATAGATAGATAGATAGATAGATAGATAGATAGATAGATAGATAGATAGATAGATAGATAGATAGATAGATAGATAGATAGATAGATAGATAGATAGATAGATAGATAGATAGATAGATAGATAGATAGATAGATAGATAGATAGATAGATAGATAGATAGATAGATAGATAGATAGATAGATAGATAGATAGATAGATAGATAGATAGATAGATAGATAGATAGATAGATAGATAGATAGATAGATAGAGAGAGAGAGAGAGAGTGTATGTGTTGAGAGGGTTGTAACTGTATATGATTCTATTTAGCATATAAATAACGATGCAAGTAAAACCACAGTAATGGCTGCAATTTGCAAAGAACAAAATATTATTTTCCAGTCTCTACCATTTGTAAACAATAATAGATCTTTTCTAAGCCAGTGGCGCAGGTGGCATATGGTGCCAGATCTATCTGTTATATGCCAGTTGAACAGTGATAACGTATCATATTGGCAGCCTCTACTTTCCTGGTTATTTCCTTTGTGCACATTAGGCCTGGTCGGCGTAGGAGTCACGGTCAATTATTAAAACAGCGTCCATGGGGATTCGACTGACTATCTTTAGATCGGCAGGTAAGATTTAGCCGCTGCGCCAACATTTGTCTGTCATATAAGAAAACTATTTCACACCAGGCACATACCGTAGAAATAAAGTGCAGAATAACAAACGTTAAAACTGCATTTTATGAAATCTTTTTCTTCCCTTTCTATCAATATATGCTTATGCCTCTAGGCGTCGGTGTTCAACAGACGATCGGCAGCCGAGCCAGGGCGCGCTCGGTCGCTTGATATGCTGCGATGTTATGCAGTCTCAAGGTGTCAGTAACTCCTTCAATCCAGATCCTTCTCGATCTTCACCTGCCTCTTGGTGTGTCGATTTTCAGGTTGTACATTCTTGCTGCTCGCACCGTTGGTTTCATTCTCATTAGATGGCCAAAACATTGAATTCTTTGTTTCTCAATAAATGTGACAATGGGTGGTGTTTCAACACTTCTTGTGATCACAGCCAAACTTTGAATTTAAAAAATGAATACATCAACAACGACACTAAAGTTTATACTAGAGACAACATTACAGATATAGATAATCTATTTTAAGTGAACGAAAGAAGAAGAAGAAAAAGAAAAAGTAGTAGTAGTAGTAGTAGTAGTAGTAGTAGTAGTAGTAGTAGTAGTAGTAGTAGTAGTAGTAGTAGTAGTAGTAGTAGTACTAGTAGTAGAAGAAGAAGAAGAAGAAGAAGAAGAAGAAGAAGAAGAAGAAGAAGAAGAAGAAGAAGAAGAAGAAGAAGAAGAAGAAGAAGAAGAAGAAGAAGAAGAAGAAGAACTGTATATTTGAATAAGAGTTCGTGTATGATATCAAGAGCCAGTTTTAACAAATGGCTATGAATCTTGGATAATTCAAAAACAAGCAAAACAATTTCTTGAGGCTTTGGAGATGTGGTTTTACAAATTCTCAGCATTCACTGGACAGCCAAAAAAGAATAATTCAAATGTTTTGAAAGCGGCAAGAGCTCAAAGATAACTTATCACAAACAAGGGAAAGAGACAGTCACCATTTTGTAGTCACATGGTGAGGCGTGGTCGCCCACGCCGTTCGGCAAGACCCCTAATAATGAGATGATTTTGTATGAGATGGAGTGAACAACCTACATTGATCAAACGAATCAGTCCGCGCTTCTATTGATAGCGTTTCAGGTTCTCCTTGATGTCGTTATACAGTTTCTCATCAACTTTCCTAAAGTTTGCCAGTGCGACTTCTTGAATGCGCGGCAGAGTAGCTGAAAGATTGCCAGCAATGTTCTCAGCCAGCCTTTTCCGCTCGTCTGGTTTCAGGACCTGTGAAGAATCATAAGATATAATTAGATAGCAATTGCAACATAAAGCTTCTTTGTAGCTGTAAAAAGGAAGGCCGTGGGTTCGGGTCTGGACAATTTCCCGAAATGACCTTGGCTCCCAGGTCGACGAAGCCTTGATTGGGTACCAAGTACAGTCCTGAAAAGTAAAGGCAGCCGGCGTGAAGCTGACCACATCACCCAAGTCGTGATCTATAAAATATAGGCCGAGCCCTATACACCCAATACGCCTGAAGGCTGAGAAAATGATCCTGTACTTTTTTTAAAGAGAGCCGCGTTTTTTCCTTGTAATTTTCATTCTCGGCTCTGTTCACGTTTACAGGCCTATCTACACACTACCTGCTGACCTTTCATTCCTACTTTCTCAGACTTTTCTACGTCAGAGGGTGGTCACTTAGTATTCCTTCCAATTACATTAGCGCCGATGTCTCTCTTGTTTTAAACTACACTACGACACCGTTTCTCAATGACCACAGAGCACGTAGAACTGGCCCTAACCCCCCCCCCTTTCCGCCTCCACCCACAGGCTCAAAATAGGTCACACGAGAGACTCATTTTCAAGTAAGCAGTACAAAGTGACACCCCTCTGACCTAGATCAGACTGAGAAAGTGTGTAGATGGGCCTGAAAACGTGAACAGGTCCACATTTGTTTAAATTAATTGTCTGTTACACATCTTACAGTGTTCCAGAGAAAACACAACCACTCTTTAGTTCTTTCCGGAAGTCGTGCTCCACTTTAAAAATAATCTGTAAGTCGGTAACTATTGTGTTAAAATTGAACTGACCTTTTCCCAACTTCTCACTGTCTTATTAATTATCTGTTTGTTTGTTTTGTTTTAGTATCCAGAAGCCATGAGTTGTTAACCCTTAGGCTCGGTATCATGGATATCGTAACCTTTCGGTCTTGATTCCATTGTAAATACCGTAAATCTGGGATAAATGTGGCTTTTCTGCCTTCCCCCGGGAGTAAACCCGGACCACAAGGAGTTCGTCACCCGGTCACCGCGCAATCCGGTTTAGCCAACTACGCTAGTAAGCCAGGCGAATTATCTGTTAAATCATCTACCTTACTGCGAGATTTGCAATTAGCTTCCAACTGGGAGGCCTGTTGTTTTTCCAGCTTCATACTTTCTCAGTAATCGTCTGTTAAATGTCCCACCCAGGGAAGTTGAACAATTGAGGAGGGGAGGGCAGTGGGGGTGGGGGAGGTGGTCGCAATCCCACCCCCCCCCCCGCCCCACCAAGAACATGTACTGAAACCCTTTACGCACGCGCATGCACACACACACAAATAAACATACACACAAATAAACACACACACACATACATATATACACATATATAAAACATTATTTTAGTTAAATTTCATATTTTTTTTCATTTCAGCATATTATTATTATTATTATTATTATTAAGCACTTAAAGGAGGCCTAATTTACCTGAGCCCACCCCTCCTTTTTTTGTCTGTGAAAAATCTGTCGAGGGGTGATCTCATCTTTCCCTATCCGCCCTCCCCTCCCGCCTTCCACTGATTTCTTGGTGTCGACACCTTTGACCTTACCTTATTGTAGAAGTTAGCCGGCTGGGAGAAGTCATCACTGTTGTCATCCTCATGCCTCCTGACATCACCGCTGGCCGGGAATGTGTGCTCCACGTACCTGGGGTTGTCCACTGGACCATTGAAGCTGTTGGGGAAGTAGTTGGGTGCTCCGGCTGGCAGCGCAAAGAGCAGAGAAGAGACACAACAAAATGTAGTGGATTATTCTTTGCAGGACGTTGCAGAATCAGTCAGCGGAATGTTTGCTGTTGTGGGTTTTTGTGTGTGCAAATTGACGTTCATCGCTAACTAAACGGCCAGCTCTTGGGTACCACTGTTCAGACTAACAACTAACACAAGACGGTCTGCTGCCAAATCGCCTGAACCTGGGATCGAACCGGCACCTTGACATTACGAAGCGCAATCTCAGCACCTAAGCCACAGACGCAGGCAGAAGTGAAAGGATCATTTCAGGTTTAAAATGATAGTACTTAAAAGAACATATCGCCCCTACCACCCTCCCTGTGTGTGTGTGTGTGTGTGTGTGTGTGTGTGTGTGTGTGCTGCGGTCTCTTTTGGAAGGTGATGTGGTGGAGGGGTGGAGGAATAAAAGACTTATCCTTTTAAAAAAGCATGTGAAACCAGACTAATTAAAGATTTTCTTAAATCAGACGTGTTGGGTCCAAGGGGGCGGATATTACAGCAGAACACAGCGTGCCAACACGCCCCTCTCATGTTCTATATGTTTAGGATATCCGTTGCAAAGGCGTTAGGCCGTTTGCCTCGCGCTCTGAAAGTCTGGGATTTGTTTCTCATACTTTGTCGCTCGGTTCACGAGTGCAAATATTGCAGTCAGATCCCTGAAGACTGTCCCTTGAGCTACGAAGCTAATGCTTTGTGCTACGCTCTTTGCAAGCAGTTATGGCGAAAGACACTAGACCATATGAGATCAAAACAATCTTATCTTATGTGATTTACATTGAGCGTCACCATTAAAACTGTCAATGTTATACTTGAAGGAATAAATGAATCAATAACTGACATCACTGCACTTGGGAGATTCTCACACGTGCTTCATCTCTCTCTCTCTCTCTCTCTCTCTCTCTCTCTCTCTCTCTCTCTCTCTCTCTCTCTCTCTCTCTCTCTCTTCTCACTAACCAACAAAGAGTCGATATGCTAATAGTACCAGCTGCAACCTGATTAAAAGAATCCATATGTTTCCCTAACATAGCTGAATATCTTCCGTAACCACTACTCCCCCTCCACCCCCTACCACCAACCCCCGAATGGGTCTTTCCATGTCTGGATTCTGTTTACACTGTCCATCTGATCCTGCTTTTTGCAGCGAATCTCAAAATGCTAATGATCACATCAGAAACAGCTTGCGTAATTTCTGATGCAAATAAGAGCCACTGGAGTGGACCTAATATCGTCACTTATTTAGGTTAAAACAATGACTAGAAAGCTCGACTCAGTGCAATAAAAAGATAGACTCAAATACAAAAGAGCGTTTGGACCAGAGTCTTTGCCAAAGGACAAAACAATGTACCAAGTAGCAGTCTTCGCCTGTGAAGGCTATGCAGGTTTTCAGATTAGAAAAAAGACATGTGCAGCTGCACTAGACTTTGAGGATGCGTATAACAGAGTACCATTTGAATACCAGGATATGCAGGAGTTGCTGGTAATGACAGAGCTGATAGACTGTCACGTGCTGCCTTAATTGAAGATAGCCGGTCCATGGATCGCACAGACATTGTCATTGCCCTTAGAGAGATAGGACGTTCTGAGGATTTGGAAGAAACCTGTCCACATCACTGCTAAGAAAACGAGAATTGGGAGTCAAGATCGGCACAGCCAAGCATGAGAAGCACACCGAATGCACACAAAGTCTTGTTAACCAACATAGGACTGGCACTATTAACCGCGCGACGTTGATGAATACGTTGAGAGGGGAATCTGAGCGCTTATGGACGTGTCTGGAGTGCCGTGAAGATAATCTAACTCATAACTCATAACTCAGTGTACCAAGTAAAAGATCCACAAGGTCAACAGTACCAGGAATTACATAGCAGGAGAAAACGGGGATAGGGAGAACTACTAAGAAACTAATTGAAAGAATGTCCCTTTTTCCCCCTTAATGAATGTTTTGAACTTTGCATTTCCCCTGTCTTCATTTTCTGTTATCTACTCCTGGAATGCCTGGCAGCGTTAAGACAGCAAGAGATCTCTGAAACAGACCCTTATGTTTGTTTCGTATATAATACTTTTCAGTGTCTCCCATATCTCTGCTGTCCATCTTTCGTGTGGTTGACCTTCTGTCTCTTTTTTCGCAGTACCTGTATAATATTGCTATCTGTGGTGCCCTGTCTGGTGTTAATCTTGTTACATGTTCAAACCATTCGATATGTTGTCTACCGATAGAGTTTAGTACTGGTTCTTTGCTGGCAAATGAGTTACTTTGTTGTATATATTGTAGACGTAGTAAATTTAGACTTATGTGTCTCAGAGTCTCAGAAAATACAAACTGACAATGCGTGTCAGTGCACTGTCATATTCACTACTAAAACAAACGACCACTGAATAATTAACAGACAGATGGAAATAAAGCGGAATGTTTTATATCAAAAATATTTTTTTTAAAAATTAAGACCCAATACTATGTAATTACTATTAATACAACACACACCAGTAATAATTTCAGTTTAAAAAAAAAAAGTTAGGGCACATTAAGAAAAAAAAAAAAAAAAAGATATTGACAGTTCTGGAATAAGGGGAGAAAACATGTACAAGATAGATTGCACACTTGTCCTACTTGCTGAGGACAGAGAGCAGCGGAGGACGATAGTGACTAATACTTCCAGAGTGATAATCTTACCGTCCACGCCAATGTTTACAAGAAAAGATGATGATGATAGCTTGCCTCTGACCAATAGCTCAGTCATCTTGGTTGCCATTGACACATGACAGTGCCCAGGGTTTACGAAATGAGATGATGACGAGGGTAGCACGCGACCGATAGCTCACTCACTAGGATGCCGCTGACACATGATAATACAGCTCGCAACGTTTCGTTGAATCACCTTCATTTTTCTCCCAGGGGATCCTGGTGTGAAAGGCCATAAGAGAGCAGACGCTTTGGCTTACTGTGCGACTTATCAGTAATGAGTCCTCTATGGACAGGGGAGGCATCACCAATGCCATACGAGAGACTAAACTCTGTGAGGCTTTCAGTTTGGTGCGAAATGATTTTTCACCAAATAGGCTGTATACCCTGGGTGTATTAATTGGAGCCGCGAGACAGAAAAACCATACGGGAGCCACCTGTCGCTATATCAACCAGAACAGAATGGCAGATGTTAGTCTAAAAACACTTGAAGACATACTCAGGAGGCGATCGGAGCATCTATGGTCATTTCTGCTGGGCGATGAAGACGATTTCTAAAATAAACAATGAACAGTGAACATGATAGTGCTCAGGGTTTACGAGATGAGATGACGATAAAGACGAGGGCAGCACACGACCGATAGTTCACTCACCTTGGTTGTCATCGACAGTTGCAGGGCCATCTCGCAGGTAGTTTCTGACCTTGGCTGACCTGTAAGGGCAGTTGACTGGGATCTGTATGAAGTTTGCTCCCAGACGATGGCGATGTGTGTCATTGTAGGCAAACAGGCGGCCCTATAAATGAAGAAATGAATTATACAGACTTACAACGGTGTTAATTAAAAGACGATACTATTGACATCACATAGCGATTTCCATCTTCCATTAGCTACAGAGGAACTATTTAAAAACAAATATCGATTACAGCGAAGCATACCTGCAACATCCGGTCAGGGCTGGCTTCGATGCCAGGTACGAAGTGAGAGGGAGAATAAGCCGCTTGTTCCACATCTGTGAAGTAGTTCTTTGGGTTGCGGTTCAAGGTCATCTTACCTACAGGAATCAGAGGGTACTTAGCGTGGGGCCACACCTGTGGTTGTCAGAAGAAAGACAGTTGAATATACTTTAATGTGGTTAGTTCTGTATGATGCTGATGTGGGTGGATGATGGATGGATATGTGAAAAGATGAGCTAATGGATGGATGGATTAGATGGTCGATAGCTGGATGGATGACCGTATGCGGGACTGTATGTGGGAGCACACAGACAGACAGACAAACCGGATGGACGGACAGAAAGCATACAGCATACAGACAGGCAGATAGACAGACGAACAGAAGAAATCAGACAGACAGAGTATATTGTATTAAGTTTATCTTGTTCTGCTGATACAGGCTAATTGCCGCAACATCCTTTGTTTGTTTATGGTTGTGATCAAATGACACGCTGATTAGGTTTACTTCTCGTGCGCGTCTGTGGCTTAGGCGTTGCAAACGCTCTCGTAATTCTGAAGTACCAGCTTCGATTTAAGCTGCGTGCGATTCGGCAGAAGACTGCCTTGAGTTGACTTCAAGAGAGGTTTCACGCGTCGACCGTCAAATAGCAACGGCAGAGTATTGAGCATAAAACAGTCTAGTAGAACCCACATAGCAAACAAATTCTCGGATTGGTTCTGCGACGACCCACACTGAGAGGACATGCTATGGTTCGTCATGATTGCTTCGATTGTCACCTTTCCGCTTTGAGGAGGCATGGGGCTCACAGGCCACGACCATGGCGAGTGTCACTTGCAAGACCCGCCCGCCTTTAAAAAAAAGTCTGTCACATTTATAGCATGCAGTTACAGGACCATTGCTCTCAACATTTGTGTCTAGTGTTTGTGTTTCTTCTCGGAGGCTCCTTTCCACAATAATTTCTTTCTGCATTATCATTCCTCTCCTGATGTGCTCCATTCAAACAACACGGTCCATTGCATTTTGTTACCACGAATCTACCTCAATACTTGTATCATTCATGTCCCGCTTGCACAAATCTTTATATCGTATTAGAAGTCGGCTTCAACACCTTAATTTAATTCACCATAAAGGATGTCCTTAGGAACTCCACCATCCTCCATTCTCCAGGTGAGACCCAGCCACCTGAGCCTTCAGGGACAGAGCACCGAGAAAGCTGTTTATGATACCTGCTCTTTCCAATGCCGATTTAGGATTAAATGACTTTAGAAGTAAGGAAGAATTACCTTGGTCATATCGAATGGATTGAATTCCTTGAGCGCATATCCCTCAGCCTCAGTCATCACCTGGATGTTGAGAGTCCAGCTGGGGTATTCTTTGCGAGCGATGGCGTTGTAGAGGTCACGGATTGAGTAGTCAGGGTCAGTAGACACCAGTTTTGCAGCAGCGTCTACTGGCAAATTCTTGATACCTTGGTCGGTCTGTAAAGAAAACATCGTCGTCTTAGGACAGCCAGGACAAAAACGGCTAGGACAGGCATAATTAAAACAACTAGGACATCAATTGTTAATTTACCGCCTAGAGGGGGGGGGGGGGGGGGGAACACTTACATCTGGGACTAAAATAAAGTAACGACTGGGACAGAAACAAAGTAACAATTAGGACAGAACAAAGTTAACACCGGGACAGAAACAAAGTAAAAACTAAGAAAGAAACAAATATTGTAACAGCTTGGCCAGAAGCAAAGTAACAACTAGACAGAAGCAAAGTAACAGCTACGACAGAAGCAGAGTAACAGCTAGAGCAGAAGCAACGAGTAACATCAAGGATAGACAAATCTTAATTAACAACTAGGATAGGAACGTAGTAACTCCTAGAAAAAAAAAAGTTAAGTAACATCCAGGTCAGAAACACGGTAACAACTAGGACACACAAAGAAACAATTAGAACAGAGAGAAAAAAAAGATAACAACTAGGAGAAACAAAGTAGCAACTAGGACAGAAACAAAGAAACAACTAAAACAGAATATTAAAACTACTAGAAGAAACAAAGTAGCAACTAGGACGGAAACAAAGTAATAACGAGTATAGGAACAAAGAGTTACAGCCAGGACTAATATGGTAAATATGATGTAGAAAGCGCAACGCTATTTCAATACTCGGACGAACGATGATGATAAAGACGAAGAAGCAGAATGAAAGAAGAAGCATGAGAAGGGAGAAGGGGAAAATGAGAAAAAGAAGAAGAAGGAGAATAAGAAGGAGGAGGAGAAGGAGAAAATGAAGAAGAAAAAGAAAAAGAAGAAGAAGAAGAAGAAGAAGAAGAAGAAGAAGAAGAAGAAGAAGAAGAAGAAGAAGAAGAAGAAGAAGAAGAAGAAGAAGAAGAAGAAAGAAGAAAAAGAAGAAGAAGAAGAAGAAGAAGAAGAAGAAGAAGAAGAAGAAGAAGAAGAAGAAGAAGAAGAAGAAGAAGAAAAAGAAGAAGAAGAAGAAGAAATAAGAAGAAGAAAAAGAAGAAACAGAAAAGCAAGAAAAAGAACAAGAACAAGAAGAACATAAAGAACAAGAAGAACAAGAAGAACATGAAGCAGAGAGACCAACATAAAATTGCACAAGAAGGGCTGACTCACCTTCCAGTGGAACTTGACGAAGAAAGCCTCATCGTTCTTGTTGACCAGCTTGAACGTGTGGCTGCCGTAGCCGTTCATGAAGCGATAGCCATCAGGGATACCTCGGTCTGAGAACAGGAACAGGGTCTGGTGGGTGGTTTCTGGTCTCAAGGAGATAAAGTCCCAGAACATGTCAGGGTCCTGTGTGGTAGGGAAGAAATCATAAATCCAGGCTGCTAAAAGATGTTTCTGGTTCTGCTAATGCTATACGTGTACACACACACATACACACACACACACACACACACACAGACAGACAGACAAATAGACAGACAGACAGACAGACAGACAGACAGACAGACAGACAGACAGACAGACAGACAGACAGACAGACAGACAGACAGACAGACAGACAGACAGACAGACAGACAGACAGACAGACAGACAGACAGACAGACAGACAGACAGACAGACAGACAGACAGACAGACAGACAGATAGACAGATAGACAGATAGATAGATAGATAGATAGATAGATAGATAGATAGATAGATAGATAGATAGATAGATAGATAGATAGATAGATAGATAGATAGATAGATAGATAGATAGATAGATAGATAGATAGATAGATAGATAGATAGATAGATAGATAGATAGATAGATAGATAGATAGATAGATAGATAGATATAGATATGGATAGATATAGATAGATATTCGTTGACATTGAGCGATTACACTAGAGTGTATCGTGTGATATTTTTCCCTCGTAGCTTCGTCTATTGCGAATATACGTGCGCAACAAGAATCGTAGTATTGGCAACTGGTAGATTTCACACGTTTCAGTTTCAGTAAAATGCCGGGGTTGCTTCTGCAACAGTACAAGCATCAGGACAATCGTATTTACTGTGTAAGCAATCACGCAATTCTTGCTTCAGTATGACTGACAGACTGTTGTAAAGTATGACAGTGTAGGAAGTGGCTCAAGCTTACAGTGTACTGCATTATCACGGGGCACTTTCTTACCTTCAGATGGGTAGTAGGGTTCCTCTTCTGGGTGTGAATGAAGGCGGGAAACTGAAAGTAAACACAACACAAATCATAAATGCAAGTATACCACAAAATATACACATGCACTATAATACTCCCCCACACTGCTTCAGGTTACTCTGTAACCACAGGTGTAACTTAACAATTGTGTGATACGGCTGTTGGGGATTTCTGGGTTTTGTCCCTCTTTGATTCTCATCCTAGAGGTTCTTGATCCTACAGACAGAAATTCCGGGAGGGAACAATAACCATTCAAATGAAGCCTTAGTTTAACCACTCATCTGCACTGCACAGCACTGCAATCTACTCCAGGTAATTGTGGCAGGTAAGGTGCCCCAATTATAACTTCCTTCGAGGTAGAACAGGGTGTCTACAATTTGCCTTGTTGGCGCTCACCCCCCCCCCCCCCCACAAAAAATCATTAAGATTTTTGCTGTCGGGGGGGGGGGGGGGGGTTCAAACCTTCAGGTAGAGTCAGGATGGGAAAATGTAAGGAAGGAAAGTACACAGTGGAAATGTGGTGGCGTAAAGTTCATGAGTATCAATAAAGTGGCTCAGGTTAACCTTACATTGCATCTTAGACTCGAATCTTACATGCTACGATGCATCTTTAGGTATTACCGCTAGAGGGTCAGGGGAAACCCAGGTAACGCATAACAGCATACATTTTTTTATCCCCTTGGTTAGGACGGGAAAACCAAGTTGCCATCCTAAATGTCTAGACAGGCAATTTTGACGAACGTTGCCAGATAAAAGGCATTGAAGGTACGTGTCGAGCCAAGTTACACTATAGTATAAGGATATAAATACCCGTACAATGACAATGCAAATATGGTCGATAAATAACGAATTCTAACATGCGAACACATACACAAGTCAGTCGCGTGAGGTCCGACAATTAAGTAATCAGACTGACTTTATTATGGCCAAGACATAAATGCCATCTATGAAGCAAAGCATGGAATCTAAAGAGGCAAAATTCATGTATGATATGGCAACTTTTCATCGCCGCTCGATAAGCAGACAACAAGCCGCCATTTTGTTGATCTAGTCAGAGGTGCATTCGAATTCGCACCTAAACGGATTTTCTGTAGAAATGACCTAAGGTCTCAAGTCTATGGGTACCATGTAAATGATTTCTGGTATATTTTATGGTCAAGTAATGATGCCTCGGCATCTCTTCAGCAGGACAGCCGACTCATTCAGGTTGCTTCCCGGTGAGGAAAAAAGTTTGGCTTGAACCTCGTATGACGTTAAGCTTTCCGGTGGAATTTAAACCCCCAGCTGCTAATGTATTACTCATGAGAACAGATTCAATAGCTAGTATTTGACATCAGACCTTGCCTGTGCCATCCATTATTGTCAAAAATCGAAGGCAAAGCATTGTGCCAAAACAGTTCACTGAAAAGTTTTTTTTTTAAATTTCATTTTAAAATCTTCAAACCGCCACGCTGAATCTGACTTCGCTCCATGAAAATATATTTGACTTTCTAATCCGTATATCTTTCAAAACTTATATACATATATATTTGATTTCGACACCTTAGCATGAAATAGTCAAACATGGAAGTTACAGTTTAAGCTGTTAAAAGGCACGACCTTTGCTGAACGTCGCTTCCGTCAATGACCGCTTTTGCGATGCTTTGACCCCTTGCTTATTTCCAAGTGTCAAGTACTTTCAAACATATGTGATACACACACACACTCACATACACACACGCACACACTAAGCCACTAGTGCTGACTGCCACCAGGATACCAAGGCCTAGTCTAAACCACTTTCTGCACAGACTCACCAGAATGGCGTCCCGGATGAAGAAAATCGGAGTGTTGTTTCCCACAAGGTCATAGTTGCCCTCGGTGGTGTAGAACTTGACAGCAAAACCACGGGGGTCCCTCACTGAGTCCGCGGATCCGCTCTCACCACCTGGGTGTGGACAACATGTGGGGGTGAGGTGTGCCGCATCACATGTCTTTTAACTTATATGTGTGAACCAGATGTGGGGTCAGTTATGCCGCATCAGTATGATTATGTCTGTCAAATTATGTGTGTGAACAAGATGTGGGGGTCAGTTATGCCGCATCAGTAAGATCATATCTGTCAACTTATGTATGTGAACCAGATGTGAGGGTGAGTTTTTGTCGCTTCAGTATGATCATATCTGTCAACTTATGTCTGTGAACCAGATGTGAGGGTGAGTTTTTGCCGCTTCAGTATGATCATATCTGTCAACTTATGTCTGTGAACCAGATGTGAGGGTGAGTTTTTGCCGCTTCAGTATGATCATATCTGTCAACTTATGTATGTGAACCAGATGTGAGGGTGAGTTTTTGCCGCTTCAGTATGATCATATCTGTCAACTTATGTCTGTGAACCAGATGTGAGGGTGAGTTTTTGCCGCTTCAGTATGATCATATCTGTCAACTTATGTATGTGAACCAGATGTGAGGGTGAGTTTTTGTCGCTTCAGTATGATCATATCTGTCAACTTATGTCTGTGAACCAGATGTGAGGGTGAGTTTTTGTCGCTTCAGTATGATCATATCTGTCAACTTATGTCTGTGAACCAGATGTGAGCGTGAGTTTTTCCCCTTCAGTGTGATCATATCTGTCAATTTATGTGTGTGAACCAGACGTGAGGGTGAGTTATGCCGCCTCAGTATGATCATATCTGTCAACTTATGTGCGTGAACCAGATGTGAGGGTGAGTTATGCCGCTTCAGTATGATCACATCTGTCACCTTGTAGCACATATGTTTAGAAAAATCATTATTGTATGGACAGACATACATACATAGTCTACGTGTGTGGTGTATATATTAAATGAGTATCTGTGGGTTGTATTGGGTTTCGGTATGTGTATAGTGTCTGTATTGTGTGTTATGTCAGTGTGTGTGGGTGTGTGAGTGTTTGTGTATGTATGTGAGTGTGTGTATGCTAGGGTGTTTATATCTGTGTGTGGGTATGTGGAGCATTACCAGCTGTATCAACTGACAGACAATCAAATGTTCTCACCAACAGTAGAGAATCTGACCGCCACTGGAGTCTTCTTGCCAATCCCATTGAATACGTCAGCCTTTGTATACTTGCTGATGTCATTAGTCACCTCAAATTCACCAAAAGCCCCTGAAAATTCAGAAGCTCAGATTAATAATTTCTTCTTCTTTTTTCGTTCGCATAAAATAAATTATCTATGTATGCAATGCTGTCTCTAGTATGAATTTCACTGTCTTTTGTAATTCACTAAACGGCCCGTAAAGTTTGACTTCCTCAAGTGTCTCTTTTGGCCAGAAGTTTTGCCTGGAAGCGTTGAATCTGGGACAGTCTTGGAGGATGTGATCTGTTGTCTCAGGTGCCAGTCCACAGGTACACATGGCTGATTGGCCAATCTTAAATTCGTTGTACATGTGGCAGCGAAGTCGATTGTGTCCTGTTCTAAGGCGAAGGATAATGACTTGTTAACAATTTATAATAGTTCCCTCCCCCCCCCCCCCCCTGTCCCCGTTTTTTTTCATTTCCTCTTCTTCATCTCTCTTTCTCGCTTCACGTCTTCTTTAACCGAGGACAATATTTGGCTTCTGCTTCCGGCTTTTCTAGCCGCCTCTGCCACAGATGCATTCTTAAAAATTATTATCGTCTCCTTTACAGGACGTTGCAAAACCAATCCCTGCTTTGTTTGACTGTTGTGCTTTTTTCTAGGCAAATTTTATGTTTAGTAGTTTGCCACTGCTTTCTTAGCGGTCAGGTCCCAATGCAACTGTGGAAACCAACGAAAGACAGATAGTTTGCAGATGGCATTGAACCCGGTATCCCGGCACTACGAAGTGCGTTCGCAACGCAAAAGCATCAGACGCCCATAAATACATAGTGCTTTTGCAGAATTGACCTTGCTGTGCTGAGTCTACATATCTTCCAGTGCATGTCTTACAGCAGTGTTTCCCAAACTTCGCCTTTTTATCAATAAAAAAATAAAAATTCCACGGCCCCCTAACCTGTGTAAAAGTATGACTATTCGTATATAAGATATTTACATTTACAAAAAAGTCAAACTCGTGTATCTTCGAATATTTCGCGGAGCGCATATGAAGAGGTCGCAGCTCCCCGGGGCGTCACGGCGCACAGTTTGGGAATCACTGTCTTACAAGATTGGCAAAACTTTTAAAATAAGAAAGAAGAAATTTAGTTCATAGGATCGAGTCTGCGAGGCAAACTACGGGGCACTGGTGAAGATCTCAAGCGCTTTTACTTTTCGACCATGCCAGAGTAGATCATCATCATCATTATCATCATCATCATCATCATCGTCATCATCATCATCCTTATTAAGTGCCGTGCCCGCTTGCGTGGGCGTCCATGCATTTCTACAGAGATCTCCTTGGTGTTTTGGATCAGTTCTATTGATGATATTCCTCCATGCCACTGCCTTAAGTTTGTCTCCTTTTCATAAATGTACATAATGTTCTACATTCATTAGCCATTACCAGGCAAGCATTGTTAGCCATTCTGGCACCCCCAAGGTTTCCGCAGCAATCTTCTCAAAAACCACACCTCAGCTGCCTCCAAACTTTGGAGTATATGCATCGCAAAATTTGATCCCAAATCTCCTGACGTCAAACCATTTTTATCTCTACTCACCAGCACCCTTGGCATGCACGACTCTCTCTGGGATCCTCTCCCGGTCAAAGTGAGCCTGCTCGTCCAGGTACACATGATCCTGCAGCACGGTAGGGCCTCGTGGTCCTACTGATGCCGAAGCTGACTTGTTTCCAACAAAGGCGCCAGATTCTGTCGTCAAAGGCTCGGGTGTCTGCAGACAAATTGAAGGCACCTTTACAAACATGTGCATGTGTGAGTCAACAAAAATTACATATTCTTCCTTTTTTTTAAGTAATCAGAAAACCATGAGGTAATAACCTCTCAGCTTGGTAATATAGATATAGCAACCATTCAACCTTGATTCCATAATAGATACCGTAAATCTGGGAGAAATGTGGCTTTTCTGTCTACCCCAGGGCGTGAACCCGAACCACAAGGAGTTTGTCACCCGCTCGCCTGCGGACAGGTCGTGATTTCGGGTCCTGACGGAACTAGACTTTCTTTGAAAACGACCTTGGCTCCCAGGTAGCCCCATCCTTGAGTGGGTACCAGGTGCCGTCTTGGGAAGTAAAGGCGACCGCCGTGATGTTGACCATATCACCCACCTAGTGCTGATTAGTCTATAAAATATAGGTCTAGCCCTATATGCCTAGTACACATGAAGACATGGACAAGGGTACTACTGTACTTATTTACTTTTTTTTTGTCGTTTACATGCGGAGATATGGACGGCATCTAGGGACTGATTAACCAACAAGCACACTAAGCACATGCTTAGGGCATCACAGAATGAGGGGGTAACATTTATTTTCAATACCTTTGGAGCTGAGCGTTTATTTTCTCGATTGAAGTGTTAAATAATACCCTAACC